ATTAATTGATTTATTCAAATTATCGATTTTGATCCAATCGGTAAAGAACGTATATCTTCGCCAAATTTCGGGACAATTGCGACGACCTTCTATAAGTTCTACAAAGCAGATCGTGAAAGATCATTTCTTATTGAACTTGCGTGACATATAGATTTAAATTAATATTTTAACAAAATTAGCAATAAAAATTTATTTATAATGTAACAAATAATTTTCATTTATTTTTATAACATTTATTTTCAATTAAAATTTAATACTGATATATATACAATTTTTGATTTTGATTTACTGATATATATATACTATTTATTGATTTTGTTTTTTATTATTTATTTATCTCATTTATTTATTTCTTTATTCATTTATTTATTCCTTCACTGATTAATTTATTTTTTAATTTATTCATTTATTTATCTTTTCATTTATTTACTCCTTTATTTTTTTCATTTATTCATTATTTTTTATTTAATTTATTATTAATTTATAAATTTATTTATTAATTTATTTGTTTATAACTTCATTATTGTTTATAATTATATATTGAGTTAGAATATTAAATAATTTTTATAAATATAATATAAATAAAAATATAAATAATTTTTAATTATTTATTTCTATTATATCATGTTTTATTTAAATATTCATTTCGCATATATTAGAATTAGTGCTTTTTTCAAGAGAACAAGATGACTTCCACATTCTTCTATACAATGATAATCTTCACAACTTTCTAGTGAATCATAACTGTATCAATAATAATGTTTTTCGTATATAATAATGAATCTCATGCATTTTTATTCTTCCAATCAATCAATCATATCATAAAATCGAAAAAAAGTCGGATAATTAATTATATATGTATATTTTTGCAACAAATCTAATGACTAAGATATTTATTATACCAGTAAGTAACTAATAACATTTTCTATATTTTATTTATTAGCTCATACTAGGTTTTTTGTACATCATAAAATATTTTCTAAATATTAATAATATAAAAATCTTCTTGTATTTTTAATGATAATATTTTTTAATTATATAATTTTCAAATTACAATTTTCAAAAAATTCAAAATTTTCAAATTTTAGTAATTTATATAGTTAACGATTATAAATATTGATTGAAAAATGAATTCAGAATTTTAAAAACAAGAAATGATTATAAATGCGAGGAAGAATATCAAAATATCCTTGATAGATTTCATTATTTAATTTTGTGCTTTTCTTAAATGTTTGAATATAATTTGATTTGAAAAATATGAATTCAATTATTATATATATCACGATTATTCACACAAATTCGAAATTGAATGGATAAGAAAAAATTTATAAATTATTATAAAATATTTATTTATATAATTAAAAGATTGAAATAATATTCCTTTCATTTTATTTATTTTATAATATAATTATTTATGATTAACTAATATCAATTTAATTTACAGTTCTCTATAATTATTTAAAAAAAAAAATATTTAGAATATTTTAATATATTTTAATATTTTAATAAAATTATAAATCAAAAACTAATATAAAAATGTAAATTTAGTTTAAGTAAAAATACATCAATTATTATATTTATTATCATAACAAATTGTTAACGTTATAATATAACAATAAAAATCTAAAAATTATTAAATTGTTAATCATAAAAATCTATTTGTGACTATTTTGTAATTATTCTCAAAATTTCTTGATAGATTTCATTAATATATTAATTTATTTATAATTATTTATAATTATTTATAAATTATATTATAATTATTTATAATTAATTTTAGAATTAGAATTATTTTATAATTATTTTTTATAAATTATTCTAATTATAAAATATATAAATATCTCTTATAAAATAACAATTAGAATGTTTTATTCGCAATAAATAATAAAAAATAAAAATTCAAAAATATTATCATAGAAAATAAATTTTAAAATTTATAAAAATATATGTGATTTATTATATTTACTATCTACTTACTTTACTATAAATTAATAAGTTATTTCAGTGCATAAATTAAAATAAAAATTTAAAAATTATTGATCATAAAAATCTATTTGTGACTATTTTATAACTATTTTTTATATAAAACAATAGTTAGAATTTTTTAATATAACTATAAATTCAAAATTAATAAAATATACTATATAATAATAAATTTTACTTATTTATTAAAAATATATTTTAATTATTTTAATTATTATATAAATTAACAATAAAAATTAATATATTAATAATAAAAATGTAAAAAATTAATAAATAATTGATTAATATATTCGAAAAATCTATTTTGATAAAATCGAAAAAGGTCGTATATTTTCGTTCGACTTTGTTCACGCGCTTGTATAAATAGAGGAGAGAACGAGCGAGTATAATCATTTCCTATTGAACTCGCGTCGCGATAACATTGAAATTATAACACTTTAACTGAATTTTTATAACATAAAGAATGATTTTTTATTATTTATTCTTATATTTACTATATATACATTTTTCCCTTTTTGCTTTTACTTTTTATTTTATTTAATTTATATTTTTTAATTTTTAAGGTACTTTATATTTTTTTATGTTGATTAATTTGATTTAATTTTTTTATTTTTTTATTTTTTTATTTTTTTATTCTTTTATTCTTTATATATTCTATATTTTTTAATTTTTAATTTATATTAACTTTTTTAAGTTTATACTAACATTTTTAAGTTGATTAATTTTTTATTTTTAATTTTTAATTAATTTCAATTTTTATTATTATTAACTTTTAATTTTTAATTTGTTATAATTTGTAAAATTTTTATTATTATTGTTAACTTTCAATTTCAATTTTTAAATTTTATTTTAATTTTAGTTAAAAATTTTTAATTACGTTTAACTTTCAATCTTTAATTTTACTTTTACTTTCAATTTTTAATATGATTTAGATTTTAATTTACAATTTTTTTTTAATTTGTTTTAATATTTAATTTAACTGTCACAATTTATAATTATAATTATATGTGTCTCGACGTAGTCACCTCCTTGTCGGTGAGACCCGGTAATTGGCATCGGTTTTCATTTTATATTTGATCAAATTATTCGTATTGCAAATATTATATATAAAAATGTTGTAATAGAATTACATTAGAATGATTAGTTTTTAAAAACTGATGCTAAGCTAAGAATTACACTAGTTTTACTTTTTTACATTTAAGTTATTATATTATTATATTTATTATTGTATGCTTAGCTTATAACATTTTGATTATTTTGCAAGAAATTTCTAATATTTATAATTCGCGACATAATTTATTAAAAAATATAATATAAATTTTGATAGCGAACAATTATAACGTATTTTTTTCAAATTAATAATTCATAAATATTTCTGAATGTTACAAAAGTATCTTATAACTCATAGCAGTATTTTCTTAAACAAATGTTTGAAAGAAGAAAGAAAAAGAAGGAAAAATATCAAAGAATATTTTACTTCTTTTTCTATCCCATCCCCCCCCCCATTAATACAATTTTTTTTTCAGCAAATTTTTATAACCGCGCGCAATGCGGTCAGTAGAGTCAGTGTTTGCTTTCGTAAAAGTTTTTTTAAATTCTTTAATGAATAACGCGAAATTAGAATCAGTGGTCTGTTCAACGAATTAAATAATTCGTTTAGAGTCAGTGTTTTTTTCAAGATAATAAGGCGATCATCCACCACGCCAAGAGGTAATTAATAATCTTTCATTTTATTTAAATTCTTATTCTTTTATCTTAATATAGAATCATTAGATTTTTAATTTTTAAATTTCAAATATTTGTATTAGACCATTTTTATTTTTATTAAAATGCATTAGAATTTCAATTTTTATTTTACTATTAATATTAATTTAATCATCTTTTTTTTTTACTTCATTTTTTTCAAACAATCTGAATTATGTTTTAAATTATGTTGTTTCGCTTTTTGTTACAGATATTTTGCAACATCCTCCTACACGATGATAACACTTGCCAATGTTCTTCGCATCTAACGGTGAGTCGCATGCATTTATGTTCCTCCGATCACTCAATCATGTCGTAGGACGAAAGGTCCGAATCGACACGAGTGACTGGTTGTATACGTAGATTTTTGCAACGAGCATAATGACCACGGGTATATTTATTATATATCCGTGAGTAGTAACATTTTTTTGTGTTTTATTTATTAGCTCAGGCTAGATCTTCTTGCACATCGCGTTTTTTTAATTTTTAATTTTTTAAAATAAAAATTTTCTTTTCTTTTTTACATTTTGCTTTATACAATAGTAACATTTTTTAATTATTCGATTTTCAATTAACAATCATATGATACGAAATATAAAATTTTTAATTTTATTTCTTTCATTCGAATTCGAAAATGTGCAAGAAGATATATCGCGACAGGTAGATTTCGGAATCAAAACATAATATTGAATATTTTTTTATTTTCGAAACTATGTTTTGATGAAGGAATCGCCTGAGGTTATTTCTATTAATATTAACTTTTACTTTTTTTTTTTTTTTTTTTTGTCTTATTACATATCATACTTTTAATATTTAATAAAATTAGAGTCATTAAATAAAATTTGAAGTAAAAATAGATGATAAGATAAAGAATATTAGTCCGTTCGAGAAAAAATAAATATTTATAATATCTTTTTTAGATCAGGATTTTCAGGTTTAACCCCTTCCGTGTCCATTGCCACGATCTCACTCACGTGCCCAGGTGTTACTTGGGTGAGAGAGAGGCAATGGGCACGATGATCATAGTTTATAAGTTTTTATCGGCGACTGACGATGAGTTAGTGATCGTGCACGACGTATTTTCCACATTGTGTGTGTATGTGTGTGTGTGGTTAGGCTGTGGAATTGCGTCGTTACGATTCTCATTTTTCCATTAATTATCAATTATACAATTTACAATTTTGTCAATATTACTACAAAATTATAAATTGTAAATTGATACCAAATTTATTAAATTTTAATAATACCATTTTTATCGATAATCGAGATATAGATTCTTTTCTCGCGATACACGCAATGATCACTAGCCATCGTCAGTCGATTTCAGGAAAATGGTACGTAAAGTTAGAGTGTGAAAGTGGTATCAAACTCGGGTGTCGGAGGCGTCCCGGGACGCTCTCCCTAGTGTAGGCTTTTTGCACCCGGGTGTAATGTGTGAGAACCGTGGAGTGAATGTGTTGGTGTACCTGTTTTGCCATTTTTTTAAATATAGGGTTAGGTAGGATAGGTAGTATACTTTCTAGTATGTCTGTTAATTATAAGTAGGTAGGGCCGGGCAGGTTGTCACAGTCTCTGATCGGGTAGGCGCGTTTTCGCGTGACAACCTGTTTCAGGAAATACGATTTGAAAAATCGAGAGCGAAGCTGAGACGAGTGGTCATCGATGATCACTCGTTTCTGGTTTTACTTATATCGATTTTTCGAATTTCGCGGTCGCGATCGCGGAGTGGGCGAAACGAACGTTGCGCTCGAGATTCTGCGCATGTGCGGACAATGGTCATTAATGACTATTGGTCGTCCATGTGCACTCAGCTTTCGCGATTTAGTCTATTTTTTTTTCTTTTTTTTTTTCGCGATTAAGAAATCTCGAGCCTAGTTTTAAGTTTCAGCGGGCATTGCGCCCGAAGGAGGAAGATCGAAGAGGCCCCGACAAACTGTCGCGAAGAGGGGCTGCAACGAATGGCTTCTCATTTTTTGGATCTTTTTTGGGTCCAAAGAATGGGAAGTCATTGTTACTACTTTGTCATTATGCTCGTTTTAGAGTGTGTAGTAGTAGTAATAGTAATAGTAGTAATAGTGTAGTAGTAATAGTGGTAGTAGTAGTAGTAGTAGTAGTAGTAGTAGTAGTAGTAGTAGTAGTATTTATGGCCGATGTGAATTCCGGCCCAACGTACAGTTATCATGGGCAAATGGGCAATCGCGATTTTTTAATTAATGTTGCGATAAATAAATTACGGTTTGCATTAGAATTGCGAATAAATAACGATCGCGTTTGCTTTAGTGTTGCGTTTTATGAGACATCGCGATTTTTTTTTAATAATTTTAATTTTAATAATATAATTTTTTTAAAAATAGTATTAAAAAATTTTTTTTATTTCGAGTTTTAATTATAGGAATATTAATTTTCAATTCATTTGCATTAAATTCATTTTAAGAATTAGTGTTGCGTTAAAAAATAATCGCGTTTTTGAAAGTAGTGTTGCGTTAAAAAATAATCGCGTTTTTAAAAGTAGCGTTGCGTTTATAAAATGCCCATAATATTTCCACTAGCATTGTGGAAATGGATCACAAATGTGATCTTTGTAGCCTTTTTTTGGCTATCATTTTTTTTCAGCGCCCCTAAATATTAAAACATTTGTTAAAGAAAATACTGCTAAAAAGTTTATTCATTTGAATTTTAAACTCTTGTAATATTACATAAAATCGTTTGTATTATAGTAAGAATATTAATTTATTTAATATTATAAATTAATATTCTTACTACGATATAAATGTAGTTTATTTATTTAGAATAAATGACAAATAATTATTCGTTGTCAAAATTAAAATTAAGTTTTTCTCTACAATTTTGCTAAAATTGAATAAAATTTGTCAATATTTTTGCATTTTTAATTATGAAATAGTTGAATAAATATTCGAAATTTCTATGTGAAATATCAAAATAAAATTTTTATTTTTTTTATACTTAAAATTAATTAATTTTTTCTTTATGTGATTTTTAAGTAAGATATCTGCGTTTTAATTTAAAATTAGATTTAAGTTTTAAATATTAAATCTTAAATTTAAGTCTTAATTTTATGTTTAATGTAAGATAAATATTTATATTAAGTTTATTGTAAGCATATTCCGTAAAAAGATACCTTCCTTGACACAAAATGAATTATATTACATATTTTCAATCCATTTGCTTTTTTTTCTCTTATTTTTTTTTTATTTTGCTTTAAATAGGAACGTATCTTTAATACGGATGATGCCAATAAAATATATGAATCGTAAGTTTAAGATGTAGTATTAAGAATATAGATTAAGATTTAAATATAAGCCTCATCGTTGGACGACGTGGGATTAATTGCGTGCGATAAATGTAAAAAAATCTTTGTAAAACTTTTGTAAAGATCAGTGTAAAATTTTAAAATAAAATAAAAAATTTTATATTTTAGATTTATAATTACACAATATCTTTTGTACGTTTTATATTTTTTTGTAATTTGTTAATCATTAATTATTCGTTGTTTTTTTTATTTGTTAGGTTTAGGTGGGTCTCGATGCGTAGTCACCTCCTCGTTGGTGAGACCCGGTAATTGGCATCGCTTTTCAAATTTTACATTTAAAAAAATATGTTATAAATATTAGAAATTTTTCGAAATATTTTAAATTTTAAAAATGTAAAATATATTTCATTAATAATAATTTTCGAAAAGCGATGGCAAGCCAAGAACTACGCATACCTGCAGTCTAGTCTAAAATATGATTACTTTTAATTATTTTGATTAATTATTAATAGACTAGACTGCAGGTACTAGTAAAATATAATTAGTAATTAGTAAATTATTCTGTACAAAGATATTTTCATTATCTCTTCCTCGTTTTTATTTTATTCTCCAATTTTTAACAAAATTTTCAAGTAACTTCATCTTTTTTCTTAAAGACACTCTCTAAAACTTTAAGAGAATATCTTTAACATTGATGTTAATTAATAAATGAATATTAATTAGATTAAGTTTAAATATCAAGTTTTCGTATTAAGATATACGAGTCCCTGAAAAATAAAATTCCTATGATTATTTTATGCTTTGTGGCTTTTTTCTTGTTTATTTCAAGTCATTTTCAACCACATGTCACGCAACAATTGCAGAAATTGTCAGACTGGTGATCTATTTCTGGTGGCCAGTCAAGGGTCCGCGCTCTGATTGATTCCTACTTTTGGGTATCCAATCAGAGTTAGGTCTTGTAAATCGACTCTGGTGATCAGAGATCTATCTGTATCGTCAAGACATAAGTCTTTTTCCTGCCAAACCACTATCGTAACCTTTGATTTTAAATTAAATTGTAAATGATTAATATTTTAAAGTTTTCTTTTTTCGCTTTAAATTGTAATCAGAATATTCTTAATACGAACATTGCAAGTAGACATAGCGTTAAGATTTTAGGCCAAAAATTAAAGTTAATTTAAGACATTATCGATAGACAATAGTGATAGTCAACGATGAACAAGGGGAAATTTAATTTTTAATTATTTATAATAATTTATAACATGATGTGTTAATAATAAATTGCAATCAAAATAATTTTGTAAAAATAATTTTTATATTGAATCTTTTTTGATGTTTTCCTCATTTAAATTTTATAATTTTATATAATTTATATATTTAAATTTCATAATATATAATTTTACATATTTTTATATAATTTTTATTTGTATATAATATATTTCCATATATTAATTTCTTTTTTTTTATGTTTTATATTGAATATTTGAATAATTTTATTAATATTAATTTTATTTATATTTTCTATTTTTTTAATTTTTTTTTCTTATGTTTCCTATGTTCTCAAATTTATTTAACATTATTTAAACTTATTTTTAATATTTTATGTTATTCTTTACAAATAAATTTCGATAGTCACTTCTTCATGAAACTTAATAATTGATATCGTTTTGATTTCATAGATTATTTATTTTTAAAAAATTTTTAATATTGTTCTTTGAAAATAATTTTATGTGAATTACTCTAAAACGATATCAAGCTAAGAAGTACTCAATTCTAATATTTTCAATCAATAATTTGGATAATAATACGATAATTAGAACTCGATACTATTTTTCCAATATATGAATTTGTAGAATAAATATAAAAAAAAGCAAATAATAAGAAAAAGACAGAGATAAATTAAAAATTGCATAATTAATGCCATCTTCAAAGTATTGTAGGAACTATATAAATAAGGAGAGCAAATAATGAGAGAAGGATAGAGATTTATAACAAAAATCGATACAAGTGGCGTCATCTCCACATTATTGCAAGAACTACATAAACAAGGAGAGCAAATAATCAAAAAAAAAAGACAAAAATATAATAGAAAGTAATACATATGACGCCATCTGTCGACGACGATTAAAGAATTGTTCGAAAACATAGAACGCAAAATAAGATAGCAACGCCATCTCTTGAGTATACAAGATATTTCTCTGAAAGCGCAATAAAAGGAAAATAAGAATTTAGCATTAGTACCATCTTTTGAATATTTTTAGAAATATATTTTTAGTATTCATAAATTTCATTTGCAACACTTTGGCGCTGATTACAGAATTTTTATTTATCTTTATGCTTCTTTCACTATTTTCTTGTGTTATACTTATTCTAATTCTGTGTTTTATTTATGGCTTATCATCGTATCAAAATATTTAATACTCTAATATTTAAATGAAACATTTAAATGTTATAATTTTTAATATTTTTAATAAAATAATTTATTAATTTTTAATAATTTATTAATGTAATATAATAAATAATTTATTAATCAATAATATAATAAAATCAATAATTTATTACATTCGTTATAAAAATTTTTATTATTTTTTTTATTATTAAATATAGTTTATTATCGATTTATTATTAATTATAATTTATTATAATTCAATATCATCGATTGATACATGTCAGTATTTTGTATTAAATTTTAATATGAATAAAACGCCTATTCATTTACATCGATACATAATGTATATGTAAAAGAACAAGTAAATATTTAAAGTATCAAGATATCAGTTTATCAGTGTAGTATGTCTATTGTGTGAATTGCTTGTATAACTAATAGTACATGCTTAAAGGTGTTTCTATTATTTTTATATTGAATTATATTCCATTAATTAATAAAAAAGTAACAATGGCAGAATTTGTGGAAAAACGATGCGAAGATATGATTCCCGAATTAGAACAAATGGAAAGAATTAAAATTTTTGATAAAAATGAAATTCGGTAAGTGAAAAGGTTATTCTGTGATAAATTATGTATTTCAAAAAAGAATTAATATTTTTATGAATTATATAGAGGAATCGCAAAAAAACTTAAAGAATATGAATACAAAATTCAGCGACATATGAAAACTAAAGAAGATTATTTAAGATATATACAATATGAAATGGATTTACTTAAATTAATTAAACAACGCAGAGATGTATGTTATTACATATTAATAAATAATTAAAAAAATTAATTATAATATAATTATAATGTCTTGCATCCTAATCGTAAGAATAAAACTGTCCAATTTGTAAGATTTATATTAAAAATTTTATTTCTGTATAAATAATAAAATAAAATATTAATATTTGCTTTATTTATGTTAAATAAAATTTATTGATTTATAAAGGCATTTCCAAAAAATAGAATAAATCCAAAAAATAAATAACTTGTAAGATAAAATTTTAGTTAGAATGCAAGACAATATTTAACTATAACTTAATATATTATGAGTATAATTTTTTAATATAAAAATTTGTTTTATTTAATAGAAACTTGGTATTATGCAAAAGAAATCAGATATTGACTATACAATTATAAATAAAATAAATCATTTGTATAAAGATGCAATATTTAGATTTCAAGATGATATTCGTTTTTGGATTGCTTACATAAAATTTTGTAAGCATGTTGTAAGTATTTAATTTATAATATTTTTATTAAATATTAAATACTTACTTGAATTATTAATTTGTAAATATAAATGTGAATATAAAATGTGGCAGCATTTTCACAACAATGTTAGTCACATGTTAGGTAGAATGTTACAAGTTCATCAAGATAAACCTAAATGTTGGCATATCGCAGCACGTTGGGAATTAGAAGAAAATAAAAATAAACAGATTGCACGTCAATTTCTTCTTCGTGGTTTGCATATACATCCAACTTCTCAATTATTATTTATTGATGCTTTCAAGTAAATCATTGCACCTTTTATAAGTTTTTAATATTTATATTATTTTTATTTCGTTAAATATTAATTTTATGA